AAGCCTCTTTTCATCCATTCGACAAACAATTATCAAGAGTGTGCTTTGGGCAAAGTGCTGTGTGAGGCCGTCTGCGTGTTTATTTATAATGTTCAGCAAACTGGCCTCTCTTCTATGTTCAGGGAAACGAAGCGCAGTGCTTGCAAAGGGACCCAGAAGAGTTAATAGGTCTCATTAGGAAACACATGGCACCACCATCCACCCAGTTTTTGGTTGGACAGCATTACTAAAGAGGCCAAAGTCTAGGTCTGATCCTGCCTGGACAAGTTTTAACAGCTTCAGATCACAGACCTTACTTTGATCTAAAAATCTAACCCCAGGGTCACAACTGATGTACTTTAGAGCAAGTTTGTTTTCAATTTTTGTATGCTTACATTGTTAGGGCTTCACATTTTGAGGGCTATTCTCTATTTTTATTGCTATCAGCTCATTTGTATAAGCACTTAATATAAGGATTCAGTATCTAATGTGTAAATAACATTTTTGATAATATAGTTAATAACTATACAATATTTAGTATGAACCAAGCRCTTGTAAACATGCTTTAAATATATTAACTTGTGTTTCATAGCAACCTTCCTTATAAGGAAGAAGATATAATATTATCCCCATTTCTCAGATCAGAAAACGGATGGCAGAGAGGATATATAACATCCTGTAGCTGTTAAATGGTAGAGCTGGGATGAAACCTTGGTAGTCTGACTCTAGAGTCTGCATGACTGACAGTTTTGAGACTTGGGTGAAACACACTGTTCTCACTCATCAGTCAACACATATCAGATTCTCCCTGTCATTATTCAAATATTAAATTCTCATTTCAGAACACTGAACAAATTGCTGCATTGTATGTTGAAAATAAACTGACAGTGAAACATGCAGTCTCGAGATTTTCATCAATCGGACTATTTTAATCCTTTGACTAGTTTAATAAATGGCTCCTTGGTCCCATGCACAGGCACTCAGGCTATCTTTAGTTGATCTCCAACTTTCCTTTCCAACGGTCTTACCATATACTTTCTTCAATGGAATTTCCATTTTCCCATGTAAATTGTCCTCTTTCTAACTAGATTCTTTGGCCTGAAGTCATGTTTCTTTTTTACATTTTTTTTTATCACAGTTTGTACATTTTCATGGGTATATTAGAAATTATGGCATCCCCTCAATTGTTAGTTTGTATTGTTATTGAAACCTTTGGTCATGATTTAACTTCTCATGTTTGTCTTGACTCCAAATTTTCAATAGGACTCTAAGCTCCTAAAGGGCAAAAGCCTGAATTATGCCTAAAACAAAAGGTTTAAGTTAATTGTGTTTATATATTACAGTGAAAGTCCGTCTGAAAATAAATATGGATGCTTCTAGAATTGAGAAAAAATACTAAGGGCCATTAAAAATATTAAGATGAGTGGCTTTGGTTTTGAATCAATAGAATATTTTGCTCAGTGAGGACTTGTTCCATTGCTTTTCTGTCTTCCCAATTCATCGATAATACATTAATAAAAAATATTTCTTGATGTCTACTATACTTGAGACAGGCTTAAGGTCATTTTTAAAAAAAATCTAGGTATGTGTATTCATAGTCTAACACAATTAAGTTGGATTTCTGGATTTTCTCTCTCTCTGTAACATTTAACAGGTAACCTTAGGAATTATGTGAGAAGTATTATGATAGTACTGGTCATCTGAAATTTTAGAGGAGGTTGGGAGCTCAATCCATGGAGGCAGGATTTAAGATGGGCCTAGAAGTCTGAGCAGCATTTAGAAAAAAGAGAAGAAAAGAGGGGCATTTCAGACAAGAGGAAATATGGGTGTTGAAAGTTTAGAAGACAGCATACCAAACATAGTTCAGTAATGAAAGATAGGAACTGTAAGGTTGGTCATGTAGGTAATATTGTAGAAAACCATAAATATCGTATCAATATCAGATTCGTAAGCATTGGAAGGCCAGTAAAGGATTTTGACTTGGCAGTGATATTATGAGAAGATTGGTCTAGGAGAATTAATCTGGCACTTGTTGTGTAGATGTAACAAAGACAGATTGGAGGCAGGATATTCAGTGAGCAATTATTAGAAAATTTAGATTCAAAGACTTTAGGATTTGAAGTGCCTTCTGTATATAGCAAGAAGAAAAAAAAAAAAACTTAGGACTCAACTGGGTAAAGAAAATTACCCAAGAATGTGCATTTTGTTTTCAAATTTGTATTTTCACTTCAGGTCAAATATTTAAAGTTTTAAACAGATTATATTACAGTAAAAATGAATTAAAATGGAAAAGATTAAGCTAAGGCCAATTGTACCAAATGTAAAAGTATTTTTTTTTAAACCAGAAACACACTGAAAGACATAGCTTTATGAAATGGATAAAAATTCTAGATTTCCATGGACTAAGCAGTTCTAGATTTTAAAACATCCCTTTACATTTGTGTAAAGTAGTATGCTAATAAGTAATTGCTGGCTATATTGTATTACTTGACAACTGGACTTGTGTTTTTCCATTACATTAAATGCAGTAACAGTAAACACAAAAATAATGGCTTAAAATTGTTGATGAATTTTATTATTTTGTTGCTGAATTTATTACTAAGCTCACATCATTTTCACATCATTTAATAGATTCAACATGTTTTCAAGGCTACTGACATTTCTGTTGGTTCTCAGTGGCTTTTAGTGTTTATTTACACTTGGGAAAGAACTACAACATCTTATCAAAAGGTAATTGTTCATTTCCATTAAGGAGCCATGATATATGGGTGGTAATATGTTTTCATCAGAGTCCAAGGTAAGAAGAATAATATTCATAAAATCTAAAATGCCAGCCCACAAGATCAAGAAATTTCCTTAGTAGTGATAACTTTCCCACGATTGAATTTCTTATGAAATATGTGGTAATTTCCAGGGGTCAAAGGCCATTGGAAAGTGACATTAAACAAAGATCAGTTTCAATTTAGCTGGTTTGGAAACATATTTCAGAATTCCAGAAATGTTGTAAGACTTCTTGAATATCACTTAAAGCATGAAGTCTTATGAAATTTATGCACAATTATTTAACAGTTTCAATTGGCCCTTAATTGCTGGATGATATTCTACAGCTAGAAATTCAGTCATGTAGTCATTCCTGTATTTATCCAGTGAATATTTATGGAGTGCCTATATAACTGTGCTGTAAGTGACAAATGTGGAACATGATACATTAAAAAGAGATGTGTGGCTAAAATGCTAACAGAGATAGAACCCTACTGATCTAGACACTCATGATGGAGATTCAGTGACTTCTTATGTCTTAGGCTCCTGTGAAATTATAAAAGCCCCTTAACTCTTCCACCCAATCAGACCAAAGTGACCAAAAGATTCCACATACTTGTCAGTGTTGGTATGTATGAAAATGTAAATGCGATTCTTGAAAGTATAGTAGGAGAATAAAGAAATTAACAGTCAATGCCCAGGCTACTAACTTATAATGGTCTATCTTTTTGCACAGTTATGATAGTTGAAAGTAAATAATCTTACTATTTCTAGTTACATGGCCTGAAGAGAGTTTTGATGAAAATTTGGCCCACTTTGTTGAACTTAAAAATTAGAATCCACTGGGAGGGTATATATATATATATATATATATATATATATATATATATATATATATAGACATGAGTGGAAAAGATGGGTGTGCATACATGGAAAGTCATGGGTCTCAAAGTCTTGTGATTATTATGGAAACATGGGTGAAATTTCTGAGACTGTACAGTGCACTAACTTATACCTATTAACCAAACATCTTGAAACAAGGAAATTGAACAGTTATATCTAACATGTGTGCACATGTGTGCGTGTGCACGCTTCTTCTAGGAAACATGTACATAGTGCACTGCTCCCTGGCCAGTGGAAGAAGAAATGAAGATTGTCAAGCCTTGGGAGAGTGTCACTGGTGAAGGACAAGGACGTTAGTGTAGGTTAAGGTCTAATGCTGTAGGCTGTTGACATTTTTGCTTCAAATGTGATTATTTTAATAGACAAGATTTTAGAATTTAGTTATGATAAAACTCATTCCACTGATTTTATTTATTCTAATTTCTCTTTTCCTTCTTTTCTTTTCTTGCAGAATCTTGCCATTAGGGCATTCTGAAGATGAGCAAGTGTTGCTGAAGGTAAAGAAGGACTGATTTAGTAAAGGAAGGCACTAAGACAGCACAGTTAATATTTGCTGCCATTTAATGTAGTGATTTCTATCCTGTTTCTACCTCACTGCTTTTTAGACATTTAATCCAAAAGTCGTTTGGGAACTGAAATTATCTAAGCAATTATTTTGTTACTCCACTCTCTTTATGCAACACAGGCACTAAGTGAAACTTTAAATTTATGCAAAAAGATGAAGAAGAAGATTGCAGGGGACATATTCACTGTAAAAAATGATTATTCAATAAATACATGTAGCTAAGCATAGTATTATGTGTTAGTGATGCATACACAAACAAGAAAAGGGCAATCTGAAATTTCTGAACTGCTGTGAAGCACTTATCTTTTGTTTAAATATTAAGATTTTACATTGCTTTCAATCCTTTTAAAAGGCTACATGAAATATAAATTATAATTGAATGAAGTGAGGAAACTCTTTAATTCAAATTAATCATTTCACTTTGAGGTAACTCAAGAAAAAAGCTTTAAAAGATTATGTCTAATATTATAATAAAAATATTTATTATAAAAATTATCACATTTCTCTGTACATACCAAGACAAAAATACAATTCATACATTAATAATTTAAGTGGGTCTGAGTGTTCAATAGCTATTCCTAGAATCTTAAAGGTCTTCCGTAGACTTACATATGCCAAGGTAGACAATTTCTATTTTATTTACATAGTTCATGTTATTGAGATATTAACATTTCTTTCTCTCTAGTATTTTAAAGATAGTTTACAGTGTTTGGGTTAATTATATAACTGCTTAAAATCTTTGGTAAATACAGTATGTACATGCAAAAAGTTTTTGCTCACATTTCAATAAAAAATTAAAACAACAAATAGCCTTTTGCAAACAGTTTTGGGTAATCACTAAATGCAAGAATCAAAGTTGCATCATCAAGAAAAGTCACTGTCTAGGACTTTTGATGATAAAATCTGAAATCCACAGGAAATAGTTGAGGCTTCTATTACCCCAACCAGAAGCACCACAACACCAGGCCATTGCAAAATTAAATACCAACACCAAATCCAACATGTAACAGTACCAATTATTTTACAATGTAGAAAATTCTAGTTTTATTTCTGTATATCAGTTTAACATTAATTTGACATGGATGGGTTTATTATCTCATAAAACTTATCATCTTGTAAGAGCGAGAGCCATTTAAAGAAGCCACACTCTTTTGAGAGTCACCAATTCCTCCTCTTGCCAGTCATTTTTCCATAACAATGTAGATCATTATCTGGAATAAGATGTGGGGGAAAATAGATGCCTGCCTTCTGCTTCCTTCCCTTCCTATCTCCCTTTCTTCCATCATTCATTTTGTCTTTCCTTCTTTTCTAAGAGTAATCTGCATGAATGGCCGGCCAACCTGCGGGCCATAGTCTTCCCAAAAAATACCTTGTGCATTACAGCTGTCATTCATTAGCTCTCAGCCTCAATGACTTTCAAATGAAAGCATCCTGGCCTAAGAACATCTTACTTCCAGGCTACCTGTTGAAAAAGACATGCCAAGAACTATTTAAATTTTAATGTTCTTAAGTGATTCAGCAACTAGAAACTTTTAACACGCATGTGAATGTGTTAATGTTGGAGTGTAGAGGATATAATTAAATATATCAAAAATGCATCTTTCGTAGCCTAGAAAATGTATGCCTGTGGCTTATCACCACTTCAGGGTAGAGACTAGCCCTTACCAAGTTAGATACTTAATATGCGATTTCTTCCCTGAACATTGTTTTTTTTTTCCATCTATTGCTTCACTTATAAACAAAGCAAGGTAAGATATCATTTGGCTCTCGCTTTGCCAATTCTTCTCTCTCTCTTCAACCTCCAACTTCCTGAGTTCAGTGCACATTTAACAATTCACGCAGTACGAGGCACGTGGAAATAAGTATTCACTTATTGTGTGGAGTATGAACAAGACAAGCAACATAGTAAAGGAACTGTACTACTCAGAAGAGGTTTTCTTCTGAGTTTTTATATTGTCTGAATGCCTTGGCTGCAATGTCAAATTAATGCTGTGATTCATTCCTCCTAAAAGTGAACATCATTTTAGCCATTATTCTTTTCTCCCTAGAGCATATAAGAGTATACAAAACGTACAGGTACATAGTACAGAGTGTAAATTAAGCTCTAATTTTCTCATGGCAGGAGAATACTGAAATCTTGACATTTGATATTCATTAAATAACAGTATCCTTTGGGGGTATGTGGAGAGTACCAGGGTAGTATCTCGTGATGTCAACAAAAGGTCTCAACTGCTAACTGCTAGCCTCTCTCGTCATGTTTTCTCAGCTTTCCACCTCTTTATCCAAGAGGTGGAAAGCTGAGTTTACTTACTCTTCAGGATCTGGAATCCACTCATAAGTTATTCTCCATTATAAAACAAGGGACTGGCCATCTGTTAACTCCTGTGGTCCTGCTCTGTGTTCTCTTTGGGTCACAGAAGTGACCTCCGTTCCTCTTTGGAGCAATGTTTTTGTTGCTTTCCTTTGTTTTTGTGGAAACAAGAGTCCACACGCAAACATTCAAGAAGCAGCACTCTCATTGACCCACTCTGATCCCATACAATGTCCTGAGTGTCCCTCTTCACATAGCCATTTTTTCCTTTGAGAGGTTCCTTGGTTCCCTGCTTGGGATACACCAGTCGTCAGCCTCGGAACTCATCTGATAATGTTTGAAGGCTGATTTGTTAAAGACGGGGAGTTTTTCTACAGACTCAGATGATAAAGCCTAAAAGAAGAGGGGGAAGAAAACATCAGACCAAAGAAGTTTTGCCTTCAAGTTTGTACTTGAAGTTTTATTCAAAATACATTCTGAGAGGCTGGGGTTATATAGCTCAGTGGTAGAGTGCTTGCCTAGCATGTGTGAGGCACTGGGTTCTCTCCTCAGCACCACACAAAAATAAATAAAATAAAGAGACTGTGTCCATCTACCATTAAAAAATAAAAATCAAAAACACATTCAGAGGCATTTTATGTTCAAATACATTCGTTTAACTGATTTAGTAATAAAAGCATACCAATGTTCCAGTGTGCTAGGCATTTTTTGAAAATAAAACTAAAATATAAATATTATTTCCATCCAATAAGAGCTAAAATAGCACATATGCAATTATAAATTAGGGAAAAGAATTTACTTTTAGTATTTACACATCCTTTGTTTGAATATTGCTGATCTGATAGAATTGATTAGCAAAGCTATTATTTCCAGGGAAAATCCAGTCTGGCTATGATAGAATGAGGGTCCTAATCTGATACCATTAATCTACTAAAAGGCGCTTTTCCAATAGTTTGAAGACTTTTCCCCATTTCATAAATGAATGCATTAACTATTTCAGACAGTTAAAGGCCATTTGGCATTTAATTCCGATGTACAAAATGGGAGCCTAGGAGCTTAATGTTTTAGCTGCTACTCTGTGAATGTATTTTCAGCTGAAATAGTTGGCAAATGATTAACAGAATCAGGGCAGTGATCTTAGTAAATAAATTGAGCCTTTTTCAGATATAGGAAAAAACATGTACTAAATTTTAAAGTTCAAACAGGAAATGCCAGCCATCCCACTGACAGCTTGTGAGCAGTCAGATTTCCTTCCCCTGGATTTCTAATAAGGTCAGCTTAAGGTCTCCACGTGTCTTGATTTCTGTTGCCTTTTAGGCTAGAACATTATTTGCATATGTTTCCCCACAAATTTAAGTAAAACAAAAGCACAGCTTCTCTCACAGATGCCAAGAGGAATTGCCTTAAGAAATTCCCACGAGCATGTGAGCATGTCCTCACTCTGAAAGTCAGGTAACTGCTTCTTGGGAAACAATTTTGGTCACCTGAGGCAGGAAGCATGACCCAGCTTTCTGTTTGGTAGATGACAAAATTAAATAATATGTGTGAACACACCCAAATAGAAAACAGAACAACCTGTGCTCATTATTTGCATTAATTCAGTTTGTGTAATTCACTCTGGATCATAGAACCCAAAGCTGTAAAAGAAAAAACAACCATTCAAAGGCTACCTTTAAGTAGATGATAGCATCTGTCCCGTATCCTGACAAAGAGTAGAGATTCAAATCTCCTTGAAAGTACTTGGCGTAAAGACGAGAAATTGGCAAGCCGTAACCAAAACCAGCCTAGAGAGGGAAGGAAGTTATTAGTGAAGAAGTGGACATGATCATTAGAATATGATCCTCACTGATGCTGATGTCCTAGCTCCTAGGTAAATAAATTCTGGTTCCTATCAGAGACTCCTATTCGAATTGCTTCTCTTTGTTTAGTTTACTTTGTCATTCCTTCTCATATCCCTCATGCCTAATTCAACTAAATTGATTAACTTACCTAACTACTCCCTTGTAATCCTTGCTCTACACCTAGAACTAGGGACTGGGATGAATTCAGCCACACAATTGGTCTCACCAAAGGTGCATTCCGGGAATTGTCCATCACGGGTGTTGGTGCAGTGGAGTACATGTAGCTGAAGAGGCGGTCTGTAATCCTCAGGGGAACACCACCTCCTCTGTCCGAAATCTTAAGCAAGCAAACAAGTCATTAGAGCTACACATTAAAAACCATGTACATTTTGTCTCTGTAAAAATGTCTTTCCTTCATTTAAAAATCACCTGGTACAGATGACTTGAATCATTTGCCCAAAGCAGAAAGCCTCATTATTACTGACCCTTTCCAATTCTCTCAAGAGAGAACCACAAGAAAAGCAGAAACTGGTTACCTTAATTGTAAGATCTTCTTTTCCCAGGACAACAATCACCTCAACTGGTGTGAGGGAAGGCCAACTTTCCTGGTGTTCAACAGTTGCCCTCATTGCATTCTAAAGAAAACAAAACCATAAGGAATTCAATGGCAGAAGAACGAAGGACAATAAATAACTACTTTTTATGTTTAAAATAAAAGCAGCACAGAGGGTAATTCAAAGTTTCTATTTTTTTAAGTTAGTGGTAAAACAGCTCTGTAAATAGCCATTTATGAATGTGTCATGTAGGATGTATAATGAAAAATATTCATTTACCATGTAATATAGCTCTTGGGAGTAATGTCTAATGGAAAAACAATTCTGCTAGCTGTCAAGTTCTTATTTGTAAGCTTAATTTAAATGTAGAAATTGGTTTTTATAGTCCATTTCCTGCCTCTCTCTTTTCGGTCTTTCCATTACATTTTACATCCAGGCACCAAAGACTATTACATAACAAATGAACAGTGAATCATTGAACCAATTTATTGGCTTTTATAAAATTTGCTGGAAAAAGGTTGCTACTATTTAAAAGGACAGTCAATAATTCTAAATTAAGTTTCAATTTGCATCTGAACTTTTACCAGTAAAGGCAAAATAACTATGAGTTGGATCATTCAATTTAAAAATAATTCAAATCCAAAAAAAAAAAAAAATGTATCCTTTGTCTTTTAACACAGAACAAACTTAAACTAGTTTGGCCTACTGGCTGAATATCCTGCAGATAAAATCTTGGGTTATTTACATCATTTTCCTCTCCCGCCACCTTTTAGTATATTTTCTGCTTTCTATATAATATTAAGATCTATTATTCACTCATTAGTGGAAGTGAAATAAAATAGATGAGATGTTTGTAGTTCAGTCAATAACTCATTGCAGTGATATTAGAATAAGTTAAGAAACAGTACATTTTGAAGAGTTATGTCAGAGTTAGGGGCAGATTTTATTGTTTGCTTTTTTTTTTTTTTTTAAGTTTCCTCCTCTCAGTCCAGGGGACTTTTTGGAAAGTATCACAAAGCTTCAGGTGTTTCCTAGTTTTTAATTTTTGTTCTTGATTGTTTGTTTTTGGTTTAAGTTCAGAATTATAGTTTAATCTTAGAACCCATGAAAGGATTGATCCTTAGCACCTGGTTACCTAAGACTGGAAACATTGGAATCCTCTGAGAGTTAGTTAGAATTACAAATTCTCAGACCTACAGAATCCAGATCTTTAGGGCATTCAAGCATATGCATTTTAACAATACCTCCAGAAGACACTGGTGCATGCTAAAGTTTGAGAAACACTGTTCATTGTTAGGGAAAATGTAGACTGTGGGCAAGCAGCACCACTAGTAGGCTTGTTGGAAATTCAGCATCTCAGCCTCCACCCAGATTGACTGAATAAGATTTTGCATTTTAACAAAATCTCCAAGTGATTCATATACCCTGTAAAGTAGATCACTGAAGAACTGTCCTCTGAGCATATTCCAGACTAAGAATGCAGCCATATCACCAACAGTAACTCTGAGTTTTAGCCTCTCAGATTTGCGCTGGACCAGCCTTTGGGGGAAAAGGTTACAAGAACTAGTTCACTGAAGCATTCACCCTGTGACCTCTCTTAATGAATGCATAAATGACAAGCGCTTTTTTTGACAACTGGAAAAATAATGGGAACATATTCTTGGCTCTAAAGCATTGAGACACCATGAATCATGTTGTGTGTTCTCAAACATGTTGATGCTCACATATAGTGAGCTTCACGCACTTTTGCAAATATTGGCTCTATAGCTTCTTACTATTAGTAAGCACAGAAGTAACAGTGGAGAATATATGGAGGGTCTTGTTGAGTGGGGAAATAAAAATATAACCTGTGAGCTATTTTACATTTAAAGACAAAAATCACAACTGTTGTAGAATATCATACCTTGAATAATTCAAAGAGCATATGATGAAGGTGAGAAGGAACATACACGATGTGAATTGGCTGGCCTGGAAATTTTCCTGGAAAGAGTAGAATCTTTTAGAATTAGAAAGCAAATATTTTGCTAAAATAAACTTCCATATCTTCTTGATTAATAGTTTTGATTAACACAAGGTTGGAATATTCCCCATCTTCCCCAGCTGAAAATCCTGCCATAGAACTTCTCTTCTTAAACGATAAAGACAACTGGCTTATTTTCAAAATGTTGTTCCAGCTGCTTTATTTTTTTTTCATTTTTCTACAAATGCATAAAGTTCAATGAAGTATGAGACAAAAATATTATAAATTAGATTATATGACTCACCCCCATCTTGAACATATTTATATTGGACAAGTTTAGTGTTAATATTATATGTATTTGGAGCTGGGGTTATAACTCAATGGCAGAGTGCTTGCCTAGCATATATGAGGCACTGGGTTTGATTCTCAGCCATATAAATGAGTAAAATAAAGGTCCATTGACAACTAAAAAGTATTTTTTTAAATATTATATATATTTTAAGATAGAAGAAATATCTGTTTTAATGGTATAACAGTGAAATTAATTTTAATTTTTTTTAATGCATGATAGAAGAACACAACTGATTTTTCTATCACCCTAACATTAAATCTTACATACTAAATATATTTGAAATTTACCAATAGGCTAATGAAAACAGAGAAACAAAAACCTCATGAGACTGTTTTGAAAAGAAAAATAAAAGTATTCTTTAGTGTCCCAGGCCTTGGCAAAGATTGAATCAGAAAACACAAGGTCTGGCACAATCTGCTCTTTATCAGACAGTTCAAGCAGTTTATTTACAAGTATTATGCAACAATGCAGCTTATGTTGAGAGATGTTTTTCAATCTTTATTTATACCCCTGCTTTATCTAATTCACTTGAATTTTCATGTTCCCAACCTACTCTTAATTTGAGCAACTTGATTTTAAATTTTGTACCTAACAAAAATTGTTCCTATATAAGTGTTACATGAAAAAAAATGTTTACTTTGAATGGAAAAGAGAAAGTCATTCCAATATAAGCATTCTGTCTTGCTTTGAGATACAACTATTTTCTAGAACAGAATGGGACAAGATAAAAAAAAAACACCTTTCATACATCATATAATTATTTTAATCACTGTGGGATGACCTTGTCTTGTCAGAGTTGAAGTATGTTCTGCTTCCTAACAGTGATATATACATACAGTACATTTTTTTATGTGGTGGTAAGAACATTTAACATAAGATCTATTTTCTTAAAAAAATTTAAGTGTGCAATACAATATTGTTAGTATGCACATATCTGATATCTAGAACATATTTATCTTGCATAACTGAAATTTTTGACCTGTTGAATAGCAAACTCCCCATCTCCCTTTCCCCTCAGCCCTTGGCAAACACTATTCTATTCTCGGCTTCTGTGAGTGTGACTATTTTGGATATCTCATGTAAATGGCATAATGCAGTATTTCTTAGTGCAATTTAAAGTATTTTTGTTTCCAAGTCTGATGAGGGACTTCTTTGAAGATATCTCCACTGCTAAGTGGCTCTCCCTGTTTCTGGTCTCCTTATCTTTCTTACTCTAAAGTAAGCAATCTTTTCTTGATCTAAGATCTTGGAAGCTAGGTGCTATTTTAAATTCATAATTATTTGTTTAACCATTCTTCTTTATGAATCATCATTAACAATTTAACATGCACAATTAGAGGTTTCCAGCTGAGATAGTTAAAGAGAACCTTGGCTCCAAAAAAATGAGTACAAGTTCTAGACAAGTTCAGAAGAGGAAAAAAAAAAAAAGGAACACAAAAGTTGTCTTATATTTACAAAAAGGAATTAGACTGGAGGAACAGTGAATTTTCTATAGGCTAAAATATAGTTTATTTATAGCTTACCATTTACTTGTGTGAGCTTTAATTCTGGAGATGTTAAATAATACTGATCGCAGAGCATTTTTGAACTCTCGAAGGCATCTAGAATAGAATTTTTTTTCAAAACAAAATGAAATGAATTTATGCCAAGTACTGCTTTCAAGTAATCTTCAACATGCATGGTACCCTGGATCTAAAATATTCACTGCAGCGTAGCTTTATATATATGAAAATGTCTTTTTAATATTTATTGGGCAATATTTTATTGAAGTTGTGGTTGTAGTAATAGGAATATATATATATATATATATATATATATATATATATATATATATTTGAGAGATCAAATATACAAGAATGTGACATTAGCCATTTATGTTTAAATTTTTTATAATATTATAAATGAATGTTCATGCTTCTTACTCTTAAAAGCAAAGGACTTTGATGGCAGTATTTATAACAATACAAACAAAATACTATGAACATAACTTCATTTGCAGTCACCTCAGTTATAGATATGTCAATAATTTATCATATATTTTCAATAAAGGAAATGCTAGAATTTAGAAATTACCTTGTATCACTGCTACCACGTCACATTTTGGATCAATGCTTCCAATGTGGCTGGGGTTTCCTGTCTGTGAGTCACTAAATATAAGAACTGTTGAAAAACAAAAATATGTTATAGTAAAATGCAAGACAGTGATTAGAATTATCACTGAGAAAGACTGTGACCCACTGGTTATTAGAAGGCCCAGTTATAGTTTGGCTTATAGTAGATACCCATATCTATGTATCATGATCAAGGTAACTTACTGTGCTGGTTCATCAGCATCCGAGTAGAAATACGGTTCATATAAAATCGATCCAAAAAGTACTGAAGACTTTGATTGGTGACTGGGTCAACTGTACAGGTATCTTTGTACTCTAAGATTCCTTGTGCCATTGTAGGTACTACATTGTGGTGTCTATTTCGAACTTTGATGAGTGTATCTACAAAGCTAAGCCATAACATTTACAGTTAACATAAGTTACATAAATTTCATCTACTTCTTTTTCTTAGATTGTTTTAAAGAAAGCTAAAGTTTTTTTTTTTTTATGGTACCCATCTAAGTCTAAACAAATAAAATGATAAAACACTGGGGTGAAGATTCACTACAAATTCTTCTAATACAGTAGAGGAGATAGTTTCATAAATAGATTTATTTTATATCCATGTTACGCATAAAACTACTAGCTCTGTGATTGGTACATTGATTTAGGCATTCATTAAGCCTTCTCTTTAAAAAATTATTGAAATCCAAGATGACTCTGGAATATCATTGTGAAAAATGTCTCAAAATTTCTTGTCAGATGTAGGAAACATCTGAACTTAACTTATTTAGGTAGTTAGAAACTGTCAGTTACTCTGAAAGTAAGTGCATAATCTTCAATGCCACTGAGATGTATTGAAATTATTTAATAGTGCAAATATAATCATTGGAATAAATTTATAGTAAAAATGGAATTCCTTGGGGGGGAAGAAAATCTCAAGACCTATACATTTATTCATACTCAGTACCAATTTTTGATGCCATATTTATTCACTTCTAAAAGCCCAATAGGCCAAAATTTGTCATCTGTAAGGGATTGGAAATTTATTATTCAGAGTTGGAGTTCCTTTAATTTAGGTCTGGAAAAAATCTTAGGATTATGTCTGAAAATAGACAAAGTTTTAAACCCTTATTCTACTGCATAGAGCTTACTCTGACAAATTTTTCTGGTCTTCTGGGCTTTTCTCATGGAATTCCACCAACTCCATCAGGCTCTGGATATACCTGTAGAGTAACAATATGCTGTGTTTTAAAATCAACACTCAGAAACAAATGGCTGAAAATAAAATGCCTTATTTTTCCCAAATGATTTGAAAAGAAAAACCAAGCATTATGTTCAAAATTTAAACTTTCCTTTACAACAGTTGAAAAATAATAAGTTAAAAATGTAAAAAGCTACAAATTTCAATCCTCAACTTTCTAGCTTAAAAGTTTAGCTTAAAATGATTTTTTAGCTATTTCAGATCAGTATTCATTTCCTGACTATTAGCAAAGACACTTGGAAAGGACTTTTTTTTTTTTTTTTAGAAAATGTTTTTTACTTTTTTCCAGTATTTTTTTCTATAGGAGAGTAGAAGTCTTGAAGGCAGCAGTAAATACTACAGATTAAATACTTGTGTTGGACTGTAACTGTTTCATGGGTGTGTATGATACATATATTTCCTGAATCAATGACTACAGAGCTGTGCAGTGAATGGATAAGGGTAACATTCTGGTTATCCTGGCTTTGTTCTCAAAAAAAAAAAAATTCTCTTTTAGGTTACTTACCTTCTCTAAGTATCAGTAATCTTATTGCAAAAGTGGCACAAACTGAGTGCTGGCTGTGTGCTAGGTACTGTTCTAATTTTCTTAAATGCATCACCTTACTTAGTTACGTTCAAACATCTTTTTGACTCCTACACTTACTCTCTTTAATAACAGATGGGGGATTGAGGCATAGAGGGTTTTAAGCACCTGCCATGGATTCCACAACTAGAGAGGCAGAAGCAGATTTCAACCCAGAGCTTACTCTGTAACTCAGTGTTAAGTAACAAAGATTAGGCTCTCTATAAATAGTCATTTTAATCTATTTCTAGGCATAGGATTTCTTTTGCAAACTCCATGTACTATTTTGTAAAGAACAAAATTGAAATTGCATATGTTGATTATTTTTCAAATTTCTCCCAGAAGTCAAAATTATATTGTAAAGAAATCTACATTTTTAGGATAAAAAATCCCTATTTATAGTTTCATAACTGCCCTAATGATAATTGATATTAATAAAAAAATTCTTTACATCTTTCAAAAGTTTACTGTTTCAGACCACCTGTTTTCTGATTATGATTTTATTACAGTACAAAAAGCCATCATTGGGTCATTGTTTTAAAACTCAAAACTTCAAAATAGTTCACCACTTACCAGCTTTTAACCAACTGCACTGAAGAAGTATTTGTTAATCGATCAGGGAGGACATCAATCTCCTTTAGGATATTGGCTAGTCTCACTGGCAATTCTTGTCGCAAAAATGAAAAAGAAGTTCTTTCACATGCATTGTCTGAACCTATAATAAATGAAATTCGTTTAGTTTTTGGATAAAAAATAACACCTAAATGATATAACCAAAACCATTAACTATCAAATATTGAAAACACAAATATTATAAAATTATATTTCACTGAGTTGAGTTACTCTTTCTAGGTAATTCAGGAGCACATATCTTTATGGTCTTTTTCTTTCTTCTTTTTTCTAAAAAGTCACCAATATAGGAGAATTCTTTTCTTTTTCAAGAGACTATGTTCCCAAGAAGTAAAAACATCCCACAGTTCTTAACATTCATAAAAGGCTCAGACAACAACACAACATTCTTTAGTGAGTTTAGACTGAATTGGGAGTGGGGGGGGGGGGAGAAGGTGATGGAGTGAAAATGGAGATGTTTCCAGACGAGCAATAAATAATGTTTCATTTAAACCCTTGAAACTCATAAAACTGCTGCAGCAAGTATATAAATATTTTCAGCAATAATTCAAATATATGGCAAACTATTGGCGAAAAAGAAAAAGTCTGTTAGGAATACAGAAAGAAGTACCCTGGAAGGGGTAGAATCCATTAATTGGAGGGTACTTTATAGTATTAGAAATCTTCTTCCAAGAAGTACACTGTTGTGAAGGAGGGGACACTTTCTAGTTCTTTGTTAAATGGTGACTGGAAGCTAAAAATATTTTAACTCAAAGATTTAGGCAGATATAGGAGAAAGATAAGCTGAAATCGTTCAGTATCAGCAGGGCTGCAGGTGGCCTTGACCTGTAAGCGCAAACTGTCAAGAGAGTAGCCACATCTGGGAAAAGGCCAGGTGCGCAGACCTTAAGGTTCCAGGACCTCACGGCAGAGTGGACCCCCGCTGGTTGCTTAGCCTGGATACCAGCCCTTCCTATACCAGGGTAGAAAGTTATGGCAGCTCCCCAGTGCTAGTGCCACCCGGCCTGGATCTTACGTCCCCTCTCACCAAAGTCCAGCAGCTGCTTCATGGAAAGCGGGGAGGGGCTGTAGCGGGAGAAAAGCTCGACCTCCCGGGGTACCAGGCTGCTCAGGGAGCCGGCGCTGCGCATCGCGAAGCGAGCCGCCTTCATCTTGACGCCCACCGAGCTTGGCAGGGACTGGTGCTGGCGAAAGCTGCTGGGAGCAGAACTTGGGACCAAGGAGGGGACGCGGTGTGTCCAGGCGAGAACCGCAGGTGCACCGTCAGGCTCGGGTTTGGAGGGTGCTGTAGAGGAGCCAGGCAGTGAGATCCAGGTGCAGTGGCCCAAATCCTTGCGTCTTCCCACCCTAGCTGCCTTTTATTTGTCTCTCTGCACTCTCCACCCCCAACCCCAGCCGGGAGGAGTCACTGGGACTTGGCAACAAGTCCCGAACTTGGAGCGACGCCAATCAGCTCAGAAAAGGAACTTTTGGCCCCGCCCCCTGGCCTGGGTCACCAAAGAGTGGCACAGTGACCACGTAGGGGCCTGGCACTGGCGGAAGGGTAGAGTGGGACGGTGGCCAGAGAGGCGGAAGCTGGGAACAATGTGGGCTCAAGATCAGTCTCTGGGGACCGGGACCCAAGTCGCGTGGGTTGGGGGCCCGCCCAGGCTCGTCCTTGTTTACAATTCCGAAGCTGTCTCAATGTCACGCAGTCGGGACCTGAAACTGTTTCCAAGAGTCGGGACTCAGAGAAGCTTATTGGTCCTCGCTCAGAGCGGGACTTTTACAGTAGCCAGTCATCTGCGTACAAAAGTATGGGCTTCCCTGCATTGGACAGAGAAAGGAATGAACAATCTAGAGGTTTCCCCGCGTTTCCCCATTAGCAAACTGCGCACACCTTGGGAACTGAAAATCCCTTTTGCTTTGACTTTAGGAGCTGCCAAAGGAAATCTACTTTTTTTCCCCCTGGGGGGAGGGGGAAAGACCATCAATTCGTTTATCTCCAGTAAACACTTTTTTCCCTCCATTAGATTTATCTCTTTATTTAAAAAGTGAAAAAAAAGTGATCAATTCGTTACTTTGACTCACCTTTTTCTCCCATCAGAAAATTTCATCACTCTCTCCCCTTGTATGAAATGTCCTTACACTAAATCTTTGCCCGAGGCATTCTATTGTGCCTTCAAATGTCCTGCACAAACTATCTGCCCCAAGAGATTTTTCCTGATTGCTCCTCTGCCCTCCTTCTTCCACATATGGCCTTTGCCACTCATGTAATCACAACACACTGTAGTTATTTAGGTTCTTATATTATCGCATCTTCCTGATCCTGCTCCCCTAAAAGAGATCAGAATAGGAACTTTTCTGATGAGTCTTTGGAATTCTTACCCTGCTTTGTCACTACTCAATATGCATTAAATTAGAACATTCCTCCTAACATTCTTCTCTCCCTATACCTCCTACATTCCCTAAAGGGAATGGAGAATGAAGCCACCGGGGTGGGGTAAGCTGGTAGTAAGAAATTTGGTGGGGCTGGGGATGTGGCTTAAGCGGTAGCGCGCTCGCCTGGCATGCGTGCGGCCCTGGTTCGATCCTCAGCACCACATATCAACAAAGATGTTGTGTCCGCCGAGAACTAAAAAATAAATATTAAAAATTCTCTCTCTCTCTCTCTCTCTCTCTCTCTCTCTCTCTCTCTCATAAAAAAATAAAACAGTGATGGAATTGAAAATGAAACCCACCTTATATAAAAAAAAAAGAAATTTGGTTACTAATGAAATGGAATGGGACCTAATGAGTTTAAGATGTTTGCTATACAAGATCCCATTTGGCCTCCTGCCCCTGCATTTAATAAGCAGCCTGGGAGAAGGGGATTATGAAAGTCATAGGTGAACCTCAACTCCATTGTCACTCTTTGCCTTCTTTCTCTAGGAGTTCTCCTTCAGTTATAGGACTAATACCCAATTTCTTTCTCTAATACAGACTTTCTCATGACAGCCAAATTCCTATGCTTTATTAACTATTTGACTTCTCCACTCGGATGTCTAATCAGCATAAATTTTGCTCCGCCCAAATGCACCACTATTACTGGGGTTCTGAGCTTGTCCTGTTAAGCTCTCTGTAATTTTTGTTACCTGTGTATAGACACCATATTTACTTTCCTACAATTTCCCAGTTTGTTTTTGATCATAAATCTTCCAGGATTTTTGACTCCCTTTGGTCCCCAAATATTTTGCTGAGACTTAAGAAAAATAGCCTTATGAAGACATCTGACTATTCTAATCTTCTTAATTATGAGAATGGGGCTTAGCTTTTTAAAGACAGTGAGAGATGATTCTGGGGTGCATGAAAAGACTCCAGCAGTTGCACTTGGGTGAGACAGAAAAAGAAAAGAAAATGCATCAATTCAAAACAACAGCTCAAGCATGTATCTTAAGTTGGAACAGTTGTGTGAACATAGCAAATTCCAAACTGCATCTCTACTTGTACATAGGTTTTGATACTACCATAATTTATATTTTGGTACTTGGAATCATTTATTTAACATTTACATAGTACTATGAAGCAAAGACCTGTGTTCAAGAAACCAAAAGATGAAATAAGACTCACTTTTATGAAGCAAACAAATTTAAGGCGAAATCCCCTCTTTTCCATGAAAATCCTGGGAGAGAATCCCTCCCCTTTTTGTGTGGTGCTGTGATTGAACCCAAGGCCTTATACATGCTACTAAAGCTCTCTACCACTGCACCACCCCACTCCTCCACGGATTACATCCTTATGTGAGGTCACAAATGGACAAAAATACATACTGCAAAGAATTATACTCTGATTTGCATAGGGAAGGCAAAGGAAATTATGTAGTGCAGGTAGATGTAGGAAATATGAAAGTCCCATTTGTTGAAGTCCATGTAGTGCTCAACCTCACTTACCCTGTCAGTTGTGGGATGATTAAAGATCAGGTGGAGTCATATGATGTTCACAGAGATGACTAAGAACTAAATGTGAACAGAGGTCACCCAAATTTTGTCTCCATGTTATCCCATTCAATAATATTTACCGCAGTTGCTCTCAGAGTACATGGCATTCTTCTAGGTCATTTCTGTATGATGGGAGCTCATGTTATAATTGGCACCATTGATGGTAGCTGGGCTGGAAGGGTCAGGTCACATTGTTACCCAGTTGGCTGAAATGTGATGTATTACTATGATTAAAGAGTGGCCTGGGGAGAGAGTGGCATATCTATTCTCAGCTGCAGATCATTGAGATGATCCAGTTGGGACAAAGGTGAAACAAAAACTATTTGAGGGCAGTGGAAGTGAAAAAAAAATCCATATATTCATTTGAGTAAACTATGAGAAGACTATGAAATGGTTTACTGTTGGGAGGAAGAATCAAAGCTACCACTTTGCAGATACAGCAACACAGCAACCCTGCATGAGAAACCCAATTTCTTGAAATTTTGAGGTAAACTCTTACCTAGTACAAAATAAGTCTGTCCAGCTTACTTGGAAAATGTAATATAAGGCTGGGAATGCGAGTCACAATATTTTTAGAGGGTGGGAGATGACCAATTTGACAAAATGCATCAGAATCCTTAAAGAGAAGCCTATTCTATTTTCCCACCTCCACGAACATACTCCAAGAAAGCAACTAAAAATATACATAATTTGAACTACAAAGCCACAGTGGAAAGATTAATGGATTTGAGGTTAAGACATGAATAGCAAATTTGAAGAAAGCATTTGCATAATATGCAACAAATGATTATTTAAGAGTGGCTATTCAAGTAGGGAACAAAAAGGTCATGATCTGTTCTCTCACGGAGATTATAGACTTCCGGGGAAATAGCTATTACCAAAGAAAATGGACAATAAGACTGTGTATTAAATCGGGACAAGCACTATAAAGAAAACTCACATAAAGAATATAATGGACTAGAACTACCTTAGATTTGGTGGTCAGAGTTGTTCTTTCTGAGATAATGACAACTAAATGAGATGGAACAGCCTTCTATTGCGGATGACAGCAAATGCTGGTGAAACATATTGGTGGAGATATTGGGGGAAAGCAGAGGCTAAATCACCACTTTGTCTCTGCTGTTTCTTATAATCATGCTAACTTGGAGGTGCCAGGAGCATTTTGTCGATGTACCAACACCTATTCTCAAGTACTTCAGACTCATAGTAGATGATGGGAAACAATGGTCAGCTATTTTATAATTTACAAGACTTTCATTCAATCCCTAGATTATAAAAAGCTGTAATTAAATGCATTAAGACAACAGTTCACAAGAAAGTTTTGACYAATGTACCATGTTAGTTATGATGGTGTTGGTGGTAATGGTGATGGTTCCTGACAGTGAGTGATGCTATCAATGCTAAGGAGCATGTGGAGGAAGAGCTACGATGTTGGTGATCAGGGACTTTTACCTCTGAGAATCAACACTTAGGATGACCTTAGAAGAATGAGGAAAATTTTGGCAAATCATTGATAGGCAGGGAGAAAAAAAATCATCCAAGCCTTGGCAAAATTACAGATTTGGAGGTAGGGATACATGAGTGGAGTAATAACCAATGTAGTCTAGAAAAACCTGAGACAGGAGGGAATGGGAGAATGTGCTCCCTGCTTAAATTTGTTAACAGTTAAATAATTCAATTCAACTGAACTTTTTTTTTGAACACCTGTGCTTTGGGCCCTATGATTGATGGTACGGATAAAAAGTGAAGAAGGTATAGTTTCTTTTTTTCAAGGATAGGAGAAAGACATGAGTAATATTTTTAAAAATATGATGCACATAAAGTATGTCTGGAAGAGGCAAGGAGTCAGGGAAGTCTTCCTTGATAGAGGAGACATGTAAGTTATAAAGGTTGAATAAACATTGATAGGCAGATGAAGAGGAAGGGTATTGGGCCTGACCATCGTGAGAGGGAATGAAAGGAAACTTCTTGTTTGGTAGGCTCCGTGGGCTTTGTCAAATCTGAGAATGAAGATTAAAAAAAAAAAAAAAGTTCTCTGATGTTCTAAGCCTGTAATACTGGAAGGAAGTGATTTCATTAATAAAGTCAAGGCAGCCAAAAGGGTCAGGAGGAAAGGATTATGTTGATTGGAAGATAATGTGAGTGAGGAGTGATGGAGTGATATTTTATCCAATTTCTTTACACAAGGCTCCCCTCCTATTTAGCTTCCAACTGTATCTCACTTTTTTCCATACACAATATTTCCTTCTAGGGTAGCCCTTCGTTTTATTCTTGGCCTTCTTAAACTTATCAAGGCCAAAATCTTTCACCTCCCTAATGTCATACCTTAGCAAAAACATCATTCCTTTCTTTTGCCAATGTTATTTTTTTTTTTTTAAAAAAAAAAAAAGCAA